GAAGTCGCCCGCTGCGGCTGGGGTGCCCGGAGACTGGTCCTGGGAAACCTCGCAGAAGGCCATGTAGGCGAGGATCTGTCCCCATCCTGCGGAAGGCACCTTGGAGATCGCAGCCAATCCGTTGGGCACGTCTGCGAACTTCAATCCAGCTGACGGACTAAGATATCCGGGGAACTTGCCGGTGATCCTTGGTTAGTTTGCAATAGTTTGCAACTCGGCACAGTTGTTGACTTTACATCACATGATCCTGCAATGTAACCACACTTCGCACAATCATGCTTCGCTGCGCCTATCTCGAAAACATCCTTCACGTGTCTTGCTTATGGTTGCACGATGACAACCTTAAGCGTTGGAGGAATCAATCGCTGACTCGCGACTCAGGGGTGATGTAACCCATCGTAGCCAACATCGAGATGCGGCCATGTTTGAGCTCTGTCTGTCGGCGGCGCTTGAAGTTCTCCACGCTACCATCGGCCGTAAAGCCTGCCGGGTCCCAGAATCCGACGGGGTCCTGCACGCCGAGCTCGTTCTCAAAGGCGATGACGACCACCTTCTCGCAACCGCAGGTGGCTGTTGTGTGCTCTGGAACCACGATGTTGAAAGTGTTCGACATGTTGCTGGGAACCAAGAACTTATACCCGTGACTATCGGCAGTGCAATTTCGCGTGTAACCTCCCTCGGCTGAGGGATTGAAGGGCAACCTGCTAAGTACTGGAAGGCGATCTTTACAAGAGCACAATGGGCATCCGAACACCCCGGGAACCCATCCATCCACCTGGGACTTGCGGCCGTAGCTGGCCTGGCGTGACGGAACCGGCTTCAACTTAGGGCTTGGGGATCGGAGTCTTTCACATCCTGAGGATTGATTCGTTGACTCTCTGCTCGTCTCGCCAAATCACTTCACCTGTCGCAATGATTCTGGCTTAGTGGCTGTCGCCTTCTCATCCTAGCTAATCCTACCCACCTCCCCCTCCCGACCATCGTAACTAGTTCTCTCTGCCTGCAAAGTGTCCGTGGCAGTTCTCCCCAAGTTGAAACAGGAGAACTGCCATGCACAAGCCGAAGCTTCCACACTACGTAAACTGCCAGCCCTGCATCCAACTCTGAATATCCACTGCACACAAGCGCCAGACTGAACATGGACCCTTCGCCGACAATCTCCTGCGCGAACCCCGAACTTGACCCTTCACCTTCCGCTTTCCTCAGCAACCCCCAGCTTGACATGACGGCATGACCTCGCTCCGCTTGCCACGGAGCTGCGCTGCTAGAAGCGCCTCGGCTCGGAATATCTGAGCCTACTGTCGCAAGAAGAGCTGGACAGAGTGTGTCCCCATCCAGGCAACATGAGAAGCGCCGAGTGGCTGATGCCGATGCAGCAGCCGTGCAGCCAAGAAAGCTTGGAGCACTGCTGCCTGATCGAGCCCGTACAGATGTCTAACTCCAGTGTACCGTGCTAAGAGATCGGCGCAAGCAGAAAGCAGGCACGAGCACAAACCGACTCGACTGGAGCATGGTGCCTTTTGACCAGAGGTCACGCTAGCAGCTGGCTGCAACTCATGTGATGTTGAAACCGCTGGTGTGTAACCCTTGCCTTACATGCTACACACTGCAGAACACGTGCCGGAGCTAGGCAGCCAGGCCTGAGGCAGATGTCTGGGCCGCTATTCGGCCACGCAGCTGCACGCTGCTTCTCTCGGGGGCAGCCTCCCGTTTCCCGGCCTACTGAACAAGGAGACGCCCCGACGCGTCCTAAGCTGAAAGTCAACGACAACTCCCAACACCGCGAGCATCCTCGCGAAACTCGCGAAGCGTCTCAAGACGTGAAGGCTCAAAGGACAACCAGGACCACTCACCGACCCCTTAGCCCAGAAAAGCTTCTTCCGCCTGACCGGCTGGGCCGCTCTGAACAAAGGCCTCGGCTCCGCCGCTCCGCGCGGATCCCGGGCCCGGGCCCCATCCCTATGTTGCTGCATGCTGACCCTACTACATCCACGCACTTGCACAAATCACAGATGCGCATGATCACTTCGCCATACCTCCAGAAGTACACTTCTGCTGTGCCGGGGTGCCGTGGAACTCAAGGCTGCCGCGCCAGCGGCGACAGCAAGGATGGTCTTCTGACCTGAACCAGCTTTGGATTGGAGATCTTGGGATAAAGGGCTGGACCGGCGCGTTCGTCTCACCTAACCCCTCGGGCTCCCTACCAGCGCCTACAGTAAGGCGCTGTTGCTCCTGCGCATACTAGCTTACATTGGCTTACCAGCGTGTCGTTTCGTGTAACTCCATGTTTCCGAAGCTCTACACACCGACAACCACTTGCAACCTGCAGGCTATGCAACCAAGATCTGCCTTTAGAAGCACATGGGACATGCGGCATGACCAATGTCGTGTGCCATTGCTAAGGAGCCGGCTGCTGGCCATCGCGACACAAAATGTACAGGAATTAAAAGTTGAAAGCGATGGCGAAGCTACAGAAGGACCTTAAGCAAATCCTCGGGCGCGCGCATGCATGCCAAGGACATCGCCTAGCACAGTTAGTTCGAGGGCTGCATGCATCAGGCATAGACGTGAACGTGGCGATGCTGGGCCGGATGCTGTTAAGCCTGCCTAGCTTTTGCGAGCTGCCTGCCATCCAAGGTCTGTACACGGAGGCACTCTCACACTGGCGATATAACGGAATCACAACGTTTTGGGGGATGCCGAATATCAATGCCGTCTCTAAGCTTAGAAGGGTAGTCGTCGTCATGAACTATACGGTCCAGTACGAAACCACAGCAGATTCCGGTGCCGAAAGACATGTCGCATGCTAGAGTCCCAATGCTGTGATCGGAATCTTCGGAATTCCGATGCCATGCATTCGACGAACTTCGCTCAGGCCAAGCCGAACTGCTCGATGGCATCCTTGCCCGTGTAGACGTTGGCGGCGATGATCCCGATGGCTGCGAACATGGCCATGCGGCCGTTGTTGAGCTCACGGTTGCGCATCTCCAGCGTGTACTGGTTCAGGCCGGCAGGGTCGCCGAAATTGCCGGGCTCCTTGGAGGGGTCCTCGGTCCAGGCGCCCAGTTCCAGCAGTCCCGCAATGGCGAAGAGTGCTGCGAAGCCGTAGGTGCCCGGCGCGACTTCCACGGCACCAAGCCCCGCAGGAACGCTCTCGAAGCCAGGAAACTTCACGTAGTGCTGGAAGACCGCACCAACTGCCGCCATCATGGCCACCCTACCGTGCTTGATCTCGGCCGCACGCAAGTTGCGGAAGCCAGCCTTATCACCCTTCTTGCAGAAGCCGGCCGGGTCGAAGTAGCCGAAAGGCTCAGTGACGCCCACCTCGCTGGCAGGGTCGAAGGTGGGCTCCGGGGGAACGTCCTCGCCTTCGCCGCTCAGCGACTTGCCAGTGCCGGCTGCGACGCCCGTACTGGCGGCTACGCTCTTGGCTCCTGCACTTGCGCCCGCCTTGGCAGCAGCCGC